CTTCGCCACCGCGAGGCTGCGCGCAAGCGGGCGCAAGGGCCAGCGCCCCCCCGACCAGCAAAACCAGACGCTCAGCAAAGACATGGCCAAGCTGACGTGGGCCACGGCCGACAGGTTGTACTTGTAGTAGTCGCAATGACTATGCGTAGTAGTAGTAGTAGTAGTAGTAGTAGTAGTAGTAGTAGTAGTAGTAGTAGTAGTAGTAGTAGTAGTAGTAGTAGTAGTAGTAGTAGTAGTAGTAGTAGTAGTAGTAGTAGTAGTAGTAGTAGTAGTAGTAGTAGTAGTAGTAGTAGTAGTAGTAGTAGTAGTAGTAGTATTAGTAGCAGTAGCAGTAGTAGTAGTAGTAGTAGTAGTAGTAGTAGTAGTAGTAGTAGTAGTAGTATTAATAGTAGTAGTAGTAGTAGTAGTAGTCGCTACTACTACTAGCGACGAATACTCGCAACTAGTTAATAGTAACTACTAGTAGGAGCCAGACTACAACTACGACTAGTGGCTACTACAAGTAACAACAACTACTACTACTAACAGTAATGCTAGTAACCTCTACTACTACTACTACTACTACTACTACTACTACTACTACTACTACTACTACTACTACTACTACTACTACTACTAAGTAGTAGCGACTGCTACTAGCAACTACTACAACGCCTACTACTAATGGTAACTAACTACGAGTACAACTACTACTAGTAACTACTACGAGTACGAGTACTAGCAACGACTACTCCTACGACTGGCAACTACTACTAGCACTGGGCTCGCGAACCTGGTGGCGAGGGGCGGCCCCGAGGACCTCGGCCTCCTCGTCGGGGTCCTGAGACCAGCAGAGGGCCATCGCGAGCGCGGTCGTCGACGACGCCACCGCGCTGTCGCTCACGCTCCGGGGCGCGGAGCAAGCGCTCATCCGCGAGAGCGAGATTTACGCTGCAGGCGCCAAGAGACGCATCCAGAACCTCCGCCGCAAGCACCGCGAGACGCAGGCCGAGGAGGACAAGGCAGTCCTCGAGGCCGAGATGGCCAAGCTGTTGGCAGACCACCCCGACATGAAAGAGCAAGTGGACCAGGCCTACTCGAGCGCAGGGAACGAATACAGGATCACCCATCAGCATCTCCGCAGGGGAGGGCAGGTTCGACCCGAGCAGGGGGCCCAAGTCCGCCAAGGAGCGCAGCGCGCACCGCGCCCCCCGCGCAAGGCACTGCCGAGTAAGCGACATGAACCTCGAGGACGGCACATGGCGGCGGGGCGCCACCTGCGAGCGGGGCGACGGCCGAGCTTGCGAGCCCCTGGGGGCAGTGCTCATGGGCCGGGGCAGCGCTCTGCTCAAGTTATCCGAGGAGGAACACGCGAGGGCCCTCGAGGCCATCGACGCGCGGGGGCAGCCAAAGGCCTGGACGGACGGGCTCGTCGCTCCCTGAACCATCGACTTCATCAAGCAACAGCGCGGCCAGAGCCCCGTGTTTGCAGACTGCCTCTCGAGCCAGTGGCGCTCCAAGCGTGGCTCCAGAATGTAGCCCGCGCGCCCGTGGCCCCCGACGTCGCAAGCTTCTTGCATGGGCTGGGCGCCCGCGCGCACAGCCAGCTCAAGGCCGCCGCCCGGGGGGTCACGACCGAGATGCACTGGGCCACGGGGCAGGGCTGGATCCAGAAGGCCAAGGCCGAGCCCCAGAAGCAGCACAAAACCCCGACCCATGGGGGCCCTACGAGCGCCTCTACTGCGTCTCCGAGGCCTACGCCCGCTTCCGCGAGATTAACAACGACGCGGCGCCGCTCCGAGGGCAACAAGCGAACCAAATCCTCGCGGTCTGGCCGACAGGGCAGGGCGAGCTCACGGTCGTCACAAGCACGGGGCCGTGGAGGTACTCCATCGAGGCCGGCCGCTGCATCGAGCAGAACCTGGCGAGCGAGCGCCTGGAGGGCGCGCAGAGGTGGCCCGAGGGCGCGCCGCCCGTGCCCGAGTGGAGCGTCCTCGACGGGAACTGCTTCCACCGGGGCGACTTGCCCAGGGACTACGAGCAGGGCGAGAACCCCTGCTTCCTGGAGCTCCGAGAACTGGACCTCGAGATCACCGACGAGCAGAGGGACGTACTCAGAACGCCAGAAGAGCGGATCAAAATGACCCGGTTCCCGCGCGCCCTCGAGAAGCGGATCATGGCGTCGCGAACAAGTGCTCGCAAGAACGGGCGGGCGCCCAAGTCCTCGGGCGAGTTCTTGGGCGAGCACGCGCGCGAATGACAGCGCGAGAAGGCCAAGACTGGCAGCGGGGCCTCGCTCGATCACCTGGGCCGAGGCGCGGCCGAGGCGAAGCTCGCAGGCAGGCCGCCGAAGGCGAAGACGAGCACCTCCCAGAAGTTCAAGCAGAAGAAGCAAGCGGAGAAAAACGTCAAGAAGAAAGCGAATACCAAGAACCGAACAGGCCTCGAGGCTTGCGAGGGCCCCCCTGACACGGCAAGGTGGCGCGCGTCGCCGAGGAGGGAGTCCACGGGGGCAGGCGCGGCATTGCGCAGGTCGTCTGGCGAGCCCTGGGCACCGGGGACGCGCGCCGCCTGTGCGTCCTCGAGGCGGAGACCGCGGCGATCTTCCAGATCGAAAGCAGCGAGGCCGGGAACCTCACTGGCATTCGTTAGCTTCCGCCTGTTCGGGCTGAGGCGGCGGATGCAAGCGGGAACTATCGGAAACGGCGAAATCGTTGGCGGAAGCGGCGGAAGTTGGCGGAAAACTATTGGAAACGAGCGGAAGCGAAACGAAGCGGAAGCAGGTGGAAGCTAACGACTGCCTGTGGATCCCGAGCACCTCAAATCGCGATCGAGCAGGACTACAAGTTCCCCAAGCCGCGAAATATCGACTGGCGCTAGACCAGACTGGCTCGCCGCACCGAGCTCGCCAAGGAGTACGCGATCATGAACTGCAAGCGCATCGTCAAGGGCGACACCCTCGAGCTGGGCACAGTGCGCGTGCTGCCGGGCAAGATCGAAGGGCGCGTGGGCGTCCCCGAAACCGTTTTGGCGGTCGAGCCCACGGTGGCCGTCGCCCGGGCTCGAGAGGACCAGGGCGAGGACGAACCCGCCGCCCGGTAGCCCGAGGAGCAGATGCGCTGGGCCGAGAGAGAGACAAGGCCCAGCACGTCCGGATCTTCGTGAACTCCGAAGCGCCCGCGCACTACACCTACCTCAAGGCCGGCGCTTGCTACAGTTGCCCATGCCCCAAGGTGCCTCCAGTTTGTCGCTCCGTTCTGGAGCGAATCCTGGAAGCGCCCTGGGCAAGGGAGTGCTGGTAGCAACGCCCGCCAAGGCTTCGAAGATCGGCGGGGGCGTCGCGGTGGAGTACCGTGACGCCCTCAAACAACCGCCCGAAAACGCCAACCAGGCCTAAAGGGCCACATGCGAACCCACACCTACACCCCACGATGTCTAGGGGTAACTAAGGTTCACTTTGCTCGGGAACTGCCGAACGAAGTGAGACCCGCCCTCCTCCTCACAAGCCGTGGGTAGGGTTCGCACGTGGCCTCCCGAAGCCGCCACGAGGGCTCTCCGCAAGCTCGGCGCCATCGGCCCTGGCGAAAGCTGCCCTGCGAGGAACAACGACATGTTCAAGGCCGACGGCTGGTCCTGAGGCCTGTGGACGGAGTCGGTGGACCGATCGCCCTGCGCAAGATCCGACGCGAGGGCCGCCAAGCGCCCGTGAGCATCAACACGATGTGCGCCCGAGGCAACGAATGGATCAACAAGTTCAAGGAGGCCAGCGACAACGACTTGGCCAAGGCCAAGGCCAAGAGCAAAGCCGGATCCAAGCCCTTCAGGGACCCCACGGCGGTCGAGGCGACGCACGCCACCTTGGAGGAGGCAAGCGTTGCCGCCCAGGCCTGCACCACGTGCCACCAGTGCAAGGACGGTTCCACTGGATACCGAGCCTCCATGGGCGAGTGGTTCGAGGCCGTGCGCAAGAGAGGTTTCTTGGCCTGAGGGCCTCTCTTACGCAGGCAAGTTGTAGCCTCGTGATCTCTCGAGTGAATTGTGCGCCAAGATCGACAAGGTCTGTCCACACGAGCGCCCAGGACGATCATCATCATCATCACCATCATCATCATCATCAGCACTCTGTTTTGACCGGTGAGAACCAACTTCAATCGTGAAGGGGGGGCGATGATTTATGATTCAGGGCATGGTGTGAATCCTGGATGGTCTTTTGACAGTCCCAGGGGACCCGAAACAGAGCCCTGAACGCCGAGATCCCAGAAGAGCGCCTCCTCGACGACGACGCGGGCCCTTGCTTCGAAGGCGGCATGACGTCCGAAGAGACTTCCACCGACCAGACCGAAACCGAGACCAAAACCGACGGAAACCTACGGTTTGAAAGCAGCCTGAGCACGACGCAACGTCGCTACAATCGACCGAACCGAACAGGCCGAGTGCAGATCGACCGAACCGAAGACCGAAGACCTCGGAAATCCTTGTCGTCTGGCGGGCTTTCGGGAAACAACTTGGGTCCCCTGCGGCCATCCGGGCACGAATTGGACAACCTCAGGTGGCCCTTGGCCGATGGAGAGAGCATCACTCGGCAGGAAAACCGCCAAGTACCGACGAAGACGTCCAAAGATAACCCAAATCGTAAACTCGCACTTCGAACCTCGAATCCCGTCGACTGCCACGCACCCGACTGAACCGAGCCGCGGCCACGAATGGGTTCTCCGACAGCCCGACAGCAAAAGACCCTCCTGCGCCCCATAGTATTCCTATTTCGGCGCCTTGCATGTAATGGGCGGTGCCGCGGAAGCCCAAACACACGACAGAGTGTTCAAAGCTGCCACCTGCCTTGTCCTTTTTTCCGTCCTTCCTCCCTCGTTCCATCCCCCAGCTTCTTTCTCCCCATTCCTCCCCTCCCCGTCCTTCTCCTGCTCATGCTCGCGATTATCGTCACCCTCCTTTTCCATCTCATCCTCCCCTTCTTCCTCATCCGTTCCTCCCCCTCGTCCTCCTCCCCGTCCACAGCCACCGTCCTTCATCATCTCCTCCTTCTCGTGGGCCTTCTCCTCCTCCCGGTCGCTCGCCGATATGCTCATGATCACCTCGCGGCCGCTGACGCGCCGCCGTCGTCGAGCGGGCCGACGGCGAACTCGCTGCTGTCTTGCGAGGGACAACGTCGGGCGTCTCTTCAGGAGGCAACTCCTGGGAGGTCTCTGCGGGAACAGGTCACCACGGGCTGCTGAGCTCGAGATGTCAAAGCCTCTAGGCCGCCGCTTCGGGTACCTGATCCCCGATTGCAAGCTGCAAGCTATGTGAGGTCAGAGATTGCCCACCATAGCAACCTCTGTGGCAACTCACGAGAGCCTCGCGTGTCATTGTGCTGGATCTTGCGAATTGACGCTAATCGACGCTAACCGACGCTCATCGATGCTGATCGACGCCGAATCGACGCGAATCGTCACAAAATCGGTAAGACGCTGATACAATCTAACAAGGAATTCCGAGAATACGCAAGGCTCCAATGCTTTACTACCGAACAGCGTCCAGGTAAGCTAGTCAGGGCTACTAAGCCAGATTGAAAGGCCATTGAGTCGGACGAAACTCGAAACAAGTACAAGGTGACGCCGGATTAAGCGGGAGTGGAGGCTTGATAAAACGACGATAGATCTGAGCATTTAGGGCCGAAACGGATGCACCAGCGTCGATGCTGAGTGAATACTGAGGCTGAAATTAAAAAACATCTAAGGCGTTGCAACCGAGATTTCTGCTCAGTTTTGGGCCCCCGAGGTGGATCGGTCCTGCTGAGAAGTGGATGTTTGAGCCCTGGACCTACTTTCTCAGCTTGGGTCTAATCGTGTTGATTCAAAGTCGGAGTTCGATGAATAAGAAAGGAGCGAGGGAGAGCGAGGTGAGGGAACAGTGATAGGGACATGGGCAGAAGAAGGGACGGAGGACGGGACGGAGAGAGGCGGGGGAGGGAAGGAGGGGGAGAGGGGCACAGAGAGGGCGAGAGGAAGAGCAGGCGATGATATGTAAGAGGGTGAGGTTACGGAGGTCAAAAGAAGGGGCTGGAGAGTGCGCCGGTGGCGTCCTAGCATTCCAACCCCTAGCATTCCAACCCCTCGCCCGTTACGCCTTGTCTGCCCTGTTCAACCACTCTGTTCCTCCATCCTGCCATCCTCCTCGATCGCCCTCCGTCTCACAGCCTGAGCATACCCCGTATCCTTTCATCCCCTCTCCGCACCCCCCTCACAAACAAAACTTCTGCCCGAAAAGGACAAGCCCCAAGCTGCCGCATAAAGAACGCAACGACGCAGCAACGACACGACAACCGCCCGAACCGAACAGACAGAACGAGACCACCTGCCACGCAAACGAACCAACCGAATCGCGGACAACCTTGAACCCCACTCCCCCTCCTCGATCCGTCGAGTTAGCCTCCTCCACAATATTCAACCCTTCATTTCCCCTGGTCGTGTTCCGCACTGCTGTCACCTCTCTCCTCGCCCTGCCGCGCAAACCTGTCAGGACTCTCGCAGCGATCCGGACGCTGTTGGTCCGTGGTATGCGGGGGGCAATTATGGCGGCACGCGTGCCATGCTGCTCGCTTGAACTCCTGCCGTCCAGCTTCGTCTGGAGGTGCACTTGTGCAATACATGTGTGCACGTCCCGAACACTCGTTGACAGGGTTCCTTCGTATCGTAAACTCGCCATGCGCGGCCATCGCGAAAGGCGCGGTTAAAGGCGACACGGTGGCACCGTCGGATGGGGGCGCAAATCGCACGGCAAGCGATCGAAGCTGACCGATGAGATCGTTGGCGAAAGCCTCTCGGTGAGCGTCCATGTCGCCAGTTCTCGAAACCGACCTTTCTTATTGACTCTCCGAATCGGGCGTTTCACGCTGCAGCGCGCGCCAAGACCCGCAGCACCTAATCTGGTACCTTAGACAGCTGCGCGAACCGCTGTGCCGCGGGGCGTGCAAAAACCGCGCCGCGCTGCCCCCTGCGCAGGGCACTGCGCCCAAGAGCAGCGCCGCACGACACCGTGCGGGGCAGGCGCGGTCCCGCCACCCCGGGGCCACGCGCCCCGCGAGCACCTCCGCTGCCGAGGGCTGCGGTGCCGCCGCAGCGGAGGCAGGCCGCTTTCCCAGCGCGGAAGCACGTGCACTGGAGGCCACGGCTGCTGTGCCGCAGCGGGCCCTGCTGCTCCTGTCCGAACCTTGCGATCCGGAGCCCAGCAGTCCAGCACGGCGCGCCGATGGCCGCCGCGAAAGGCCGCAGGCACCCACGAGTGGCACAGGACCGGGGGCTACGGCACGGAAACGCTCCTGTGCGCGGAGGGGGCCCCTGCAACACGTTATGCCTTGCAGTGGGTGGGACAAACCCAGGACGTTGATGCTTGGGAATTGGACATGTGGGAAATGCACGGAGTGCCGCGCCGAAGCGCGGAGGGCCAGAATCGGAAGCGACGCGCCAAGCCAGCGTCAGGTGCGCCTGAGAGACTGGGGACCACGAGGGGGTGGGCGGGTGGCACATTATGAGAGGGTGAGTGGGTAATGCAGTGTGAGAAACAAATGGCGCCATGATTTTTGATGTATGTATATGCGTGCGTGTGTGTATATATATATACACATACATACATACACACATATCTACATATATACATATATATAACACATATACACATATACATAAACAACTGCACGTACATATACATACATACATATACATATATGTTTGTTTGTATGTATGTATGTATATATATATGCTAAAACCATCGCACGCGCTTCGCGCGCGCTCAAGTTTTAGCTAGGAGAATCGTCATCGTCATCATCGCCACCCTCATCACCATTATATCGGGCGTCATCGTCAGCGGCATCGTCATCATCACCGTAACCATCACCATCATCACAATCGTCACCATCGACACCATCAGCAACAACATCGTCATCACCATCTTCATCACCGCAATCGTCGTCATCATCGTCAGTATCGTCACCTGAATTATCAACATAATCGTCCTCATCATCACCATAGTCATCGTTCTCGTCGTCGTCGTGATCGTCGTCATCGTTATCGTCACCTGGGAGCCTCTCGAGGCCTCTTGCGGACTCCTGGGGGCCTCTTGGGAGCTTCTGGTGGGCGAGGGCTCGAAATGTCAGTTCGTGTTCCCCATCTGGGGCTCCTCTTGGAATGTTCTGGGGGCTCTTTTGGGCCGTCTTGGAAGCTTCCTGGGCCGTTTTGGGGCCCTCTTGGGCTGTCTCGGTGGTCTCTTGGGGGCCTCTTGGCTCGTTTTGAGGCGATCTGTCGGGCCTCGTGGGCCGTCTTTGAGCGTCTGGAAGCCGAACTGGGGAGAACGCCAAAACCCTTCAAAAACCAATTAAAAATCAATGACGATTCCCTCTTGGTCCCCTCCCGGGAGTGCTGTCGGAGACCTGATGGGACGCTTTGCAGCTTTTGCCTCTCTTGGGCTGTCCTGAGGGCGTCCTGGAGCCATTTTAAAAGGGTCCTGGGAGCGTTCTGGCGTCTCCGGCGGGGGGTGACCACACCCACTGGGCAAAGTGAGGCCCCCCTCTGGTCCAGGACCCCCTCCCCACACACACATATGTGTATATATACATATATACATATATACATATATGTATATATATACATATATATGTATACAAATATGTATATATATATATATATACTTTAACCACGCCCGCGCTACGCGCCTTCTTGGGTTCTTGTCGCAGATGAGCCACGGGTGCCGTTGTCAGCCCCGCTGTGGCCGCAACGGCGATTTCCACCGTTCTCGGGCCCATACCATCGACGCAAAGCAACGCGTAGTCAGAACGCGGGGCGCCACGTTCCCGCGCACCTCACAATCTCGCTGCCGCCTTTGTTTGATCGAACTGCGCACTTTTTCTCCACATTCATTTCCGTTCTGCCCCGTCGCGACACTCACTGATTTTGCACATTTGCTCGGTCCCCCCATGCCCGATCACGCAGACATCCGCTGGCTCCTGATGTTGGGGTTGGCTCGAGGCCTCGTTGCGCGCGCGTGGGAACACGTTGTTTTTGTTCCTCTCCCTTGTGCTCCAGGCTTCTCGTTGACGGCGGTCATTCAGCTGTCGGGTATCTGCAAAAAACGCGCGCAGATGCCCCGGTCATCTGTGCCCTTCTCTGCAATCAATTGTTGCCGAATCCGCCCACGGGAGTGGGGAAGCTTCATTGTGCTGGACGCCAGACCTCATGCCGGCGATAGTCGCACCCGTGGGAGCAGAAGGTTCGGGCTCACGGGGGATGTTCAACGATGTGTGCCTGGCAAGTCCCATGTACGGGGTTGCCTGGAGCTCTGACGGGGCCTCTGGCGGTACCTTCTTGGCGCTCTGGCGAGGCCTTTCAGGAGGTGAAGGGGGCGCACGCAAACTAAACGATTGACTAGTGTAGCCACACCCCGCTCGCTCGGGCGGGTCCGCCCTGCAAGGGTGGGAGGAGCAAGAATCGCGCGAAAGAGTATGATGTAGGGATGCCCTGCTCTCTCTGGCGGGGGTTCCCTGGCGCTCTGGCGGGGCTTGCCCAGGAGGGGAGGGAGGAGCACGAAACCTGGTGAAAATTATGGTATAGCCACATCCCGTGCGCTCTGACGGGGCTTCCTCGGGCGCGGTGCGGGGAGCAAGTCGTAGCAGGGACTGTATATGGTATAGCAACACCCCTCTCGCTCTGCCGGGGCCGCCCTTGAGGGGTGGGAAGGGCCAAGCAATTTGTGAAATGATAGGGTATAGAGATACCCCGCTCGCTCTGGCGGGGCCTGTCTGACGCTCTGGCGGGGCCGTCCCAGGAGAGGAGTGAAAAGCACGAAAGCTGAGGGGTGAGGGGAAGAAGAGGAGAGAGGAGGTAATGGAGGCAAGGGGAAGGGGCGGGAGGGAAGGAGGGACGGAAGGGGGAGGCCCGGGCCATCTGGGCCGTCTTCGAGCGCCCTGGGGCCTCCCGCTCCCGCTCTGTGGTCCATCTTGGGCCTGTCCTGGGGCCTCCTGAGCCGTCTGGGGTTCCTCGTGGGTACTTTGCAAGCTCTCCTGAGCCGTCTTGGGGCTCTTCTGGGGGGCGTCTTCGGCGGTCTTGCGGCGGTGCTGGTGGCGTCTTCGGCCGTCTTCGAACATTGGAAGCTCGAAAACGTGAGAAAGCGAAACAAATCGAACAAACCAATGCAAATCAATGGGCTCCCTCGGGACGTGTCTCGGAGCTCTCTTGGGTCCTCTTGGAGGCCTCTTGGACAAATGCTGAAACGCTCTTGTGCGGTCTTGGGCTCTCTTGAAGCGCTCTTGGGCCATCTTGGCGCCCTCTTGGACGTCTCTCGGCCCCCTTTGACGTTTTTGGGGCCCCTGATCCCTGGGAGGTTGTGCAATCCCGCCCCCACCACAATCCTGACTGCTTAGAGGATGGCCGACCCGAGCACAATCAAGAGGGCCCAGCCACAGCAGCAACGACCAGACCTCTAACATTAGGCACGCAAGGGGGCACCCCGAATGGGGTTCGGGTTAGCCGCGTCCATTGTCCTCATCCCCTCACCCTGAAACAGCACACCACCAGGAAATTCAAAACCCCGTCGGGGGAGTGGACCGCGGCGAGACCTGTGACAGCAAGGAGAGAGTAGCGGAGAATGGAGGGAAAGGAGGAGGAGGAGGAAAGCGAGCGAGGGAGAAGGGAAGGAGGGGAAGGCACAGTCCCACCACAGCCTGACCCCCTCACTCAGGGGAGGCACTAAGCCGGGGATGAGGAGGACGCGTTTCCGACGAGCGGCCACGAGGAGGCCTATGCACCTGCTCGTCCCCACTCTTCCCCTCACCCCGCCTCCCCTCCATCTCCTCGCTCATCTCTCAGACCTTCGGCCCTTCCCATGGCGCCCAAGAGCACCCCCAAATCGTGAAAAAGGGGACATGCTGCATCCCCCTCGCATGGCGCAGTTGTGCTCTGGTCGCTCCTTGGCGCGCTGTGATTGCTTTTTGGCGCTACTGGGTCTGTATGCATTTGGCGCTATTGAGCGCCAGTGGGCGATATTCGCCGATGTGTATTCAGTCCTCCTCCTCGACTTTCCTCATCATCCTCCCCCTCCTCCTCATCTACACCCTGCGAAATGCTTAAGAAATCATGGGTTAAGAAATTCATAGTCTCAGAATTTGAATAAAAACCCAGAATGTCGATTGAAATCTTAGGATTCACATTGAAACATTAAGAATAATCGAGACTCTGGCCGAAAATGTAAGTTTTCTTAAGCATCGCCCAAGGTGTACCCCACCTCCTCATCGACCCTCCTCGCGCACCCTCCTCCTGGGAGGGGCGCGCCCGTTCGCGCGGGGAGGGGCGCCTCGACGATGATGCTGGCGATGATGTTCAGGACCACGATGTTGGACAAGAGCGCATACCTCTCGGGGCACCACGACAATGAAGAGGAACTGGGACACACAAATAAATACACACACACATAAAAATATCCCCCATATTTTCCCATGTTTTCTGTGTTTTTGTCTTCCCCCCCACTTCCCATATTTTCCAATATTTTCCTGGGAGCCGACGATTAATTGTGTCTGTGTGTTTCTTTCCCTCCTGAGACAAGAGCGGTCAACAGCGAATCTTTCGTGGCAACTCATGGGGACCCGTGTCGTCTTGCCCGTTCTTGCGAATCAGCTCTGACCGGCGCTCGTCGGCGTCAGTCGACGCCAAAACGGCGCTATATCTCGCCAGTCGACATCCAGTCTGCCCTCATCCACCTAACTCCTCAAACCTACAAAGTCCCCATGCGTCACTACATAGCGAACCGATGGATTGGATCGGATCCAAGTGTATCGGCGCGAAGTGGGAATCGGCCGCGCCAGGATGCACAGCAAAGCCGTGCAAGCGTGGGGCATCGTCGGATCGTCGGAAAGTCGGAACAAATGCGTTTCGTGGACGCTCTCCCCGCAAAAGCACCCTGACACACACACACACACACACACAGTGGAACCGGTGGGGGGAGGCCCCGCACATTGAGCACCCCTGGAAATCACCATCGTGGCCACCGCCTCCCTAACCGGGGGGTGCCGCCAAACGCTCCCCCCCCCCTGCCCAGAGGGGAGGGAGTTCGAACCAGGGACGCCCCCCCCCCCCGCCCGGAAGTGCCAGGGGGGGGCATTGGGGGGCGGCGTTCGGGGGGGGGTCGAACAGAGAGGGAAGCCCTCATGTCGGACCAAGCCCAAACAACTGGTATCAATTACAACCAACTTGGCCTCTTCTCAAGCGGCAGAAACAAATGGCCCCAACTACAACACACCATCAGAAACCGACAATATGACTCTGCGCGTACAACTGCTCAGTACGTTTCAAACATGAAATGCACGTATTGATAATAAACACTCGTTGTGGGAGACAACATGAAATCATGCAACGGGGGCTGTGAACAATGCGTGTCGCATTGAGTTTGTAGTAACACGTGGGAATATGAATATATCGGCGGAGGGCTTCGATGGCGCACTCCCCAGCACACTCAACGTGAAATACGCACGGTGCACGGCAGACCTACCCCAGAGGTTGGGATCAACGAATTCTGTACCACTTTCCACATATTATTCAAATCGAAGAACACTCATACATACTATTGTCGAATGATGGTGCAGCTCGTTTTTTATATGTTTTCTTCTTCTGCTTGTGCACATGAAGGTTGTCTCGTGGTGTTAGTTGTCGGATTTCATGTCCGAACAGGGCGGCGGCGGCGGGACCCGGAACGGGGATCGAACGACTCGGCGGCGGCGGCGGAGGGCAAGGTTAGTCGTTCGGCCACCGTCGCCCTCCCCATGGGTTCCAAGACCCTCCGATCTCCGCAGGCACGAAAAGTTTCCATTGGAAGCGTCACCTTCGGGGGCTTGGAAAAACCCGTGCCGCAGGAAGGGGCGCAGGGGCCGAACGACTCGGCGGCGGCGAGAAGGGCAACTTGACTTGTTCGGCCACCTTTCCCTCCGCATGGGTTCGGGGGCCCACCGACACCCCGAAGGCACGAAACATGTCCGTTGGAAACGTCGCTTTCGGGGGATCGAAAAACCCCGCGCCCGCAGGAAAGGAAGCCGGAACCGAACGACTCTGTGGCGGGGGGAGGCAAGGTGACCGGTTCGGCCCCCGTCCCCCTTCCCATGGAATCGGGGGCTGCCCGAATCCCCGACGGCACGAAACGTTCCCATGGCACGAGCGAGGATTCCGCGCCCGCAAAAAATGCAAGCAGAGCCCAACGATTCGGCGGCACGAACGGAATGCAAAACAACCCGTTCGGCCGCCATTACCCCTCCCCATGGGTTTGCCCCCCTTGGGTTTCCAGAGGCACGAAAGCTGAAATCCTGCAGAAATCCTCGGACGTCCTCACGAATCCTCAGGCATCTTGGGAGAATCCGAAAGTATATATCTGGAAACCTCCGTCATCCTGGGGGAGGCATCGACAGTCCATCAAAAAACACTCTGGATTCGACAAGGATCATCAAAAACCCATATGGGACCATCCGGAAAAACATCAAACCCCATCAGGAATCCCCAGGAATCCAAAATAATCCAGCAAACATGCTGTGGAATCCAAGAAAATACCAGGTTTGTTGTACTTGTTCCTGTAGTTTCACATCGATAAGTATGTATGCATGCATGCATGCATGTATGTATACATGTATGATCGTTTGTGTACATATGTGCATATATTTGTAAAATGGTCCATCTTCCACCCGGAAAAGTATCATATACACTACAGGAATCAATCAGGAATCCATTCGGAATCTTCAAGAATGCCTGTTTTTCCTCCGGGATGACAAGGAATTCCTGAGGAATCATCCGGGATTCTCCTGGAATCACAGAAAAGAGTACGGAGGAATTCTGGAGAAATCAGCAAAAATCGTGAGGAAGGCCACAGGATTCCTCCGGACTCATGACGAATTCCTGGGGGACCCAGGGACTTGTACGGATCTTTCTTCAGGGATTTCGGAGGGATCTTTAGGGAGTCTCGGAGGAACCTCTGTGGAGCTTCCACAACAGATTTATAAAAAGGAACCTACGAGGAAACTGCAAGGAACCTCTCAGGAACTTTCCACAAGTGCCCTCCCAAAAAACCTTTGCAGAGTTTCGGAAGACATATAAAGAACTTCGGAGGAAACGGGAGGATACCTCTGATGTGTTTCTGAAGGGACCTGTAAAAAAACACATCGAATGAAAAACACGGAACAACTTCAACATCGGCTCACTGAACATATCAACATTTGTTTAATAACATATGCCCCAATCAGATTTTCTACTCACACGGTCCTACCGGGAATTCGCAAATTTGGCAAACATGTCCCGCCGATGTTGGTAGCAAGCTGGGTTCCTGGGTTCCCTGTTCCGGGTTCCCGGGTTCCTGTTTATTGGTTCCGGGCCGATGTCGGTGGGTTTTGGGTTCCCGGGTTCCCGTGTCCCCGGTCGATCTCCCCAGTGAAAACCATCCACTGATTGGGTATTTTCTCTGGTGTAATTTGTACTTCGGAAAAATATCAAGAACCTCTGGATAACCTTTACGGAACATCTGCGGAACCTCTGGTCGACATTTAAAGAGTTTCTAAAGAGCAACCGAATCAGCTGTATAAGGACTCCAGACGGCCCAAGGAGGCCCCCGGGACCGCCCCAAGACGGTCCAAGAAGCCTCCAAGAGGGCCCCAATACAGCCCAAGAGGGCGCCAAGACGGCTCAAGAGGCGCCGAAGACGGCTCAATAAAGCTCCGAAGACGGCCCCAAGAGCGCTCCAGGAGCGCCCCACGTGGTTTCCAAAAGAGCTCAATATGGTCCCACACGGTCCAAGGGCGATCGAAGACACCCGAAATGGCCTCCAGATGGTCCACGACGCCCCCAAAAGGCCTCCAAGATGCGCCCCAAGAGGGTCCCTAGACGCAGAAGTTTGCTCATTTCCTTTGTGCAACGTATATTTGTTCACAGTTTCGCCTCGTGGGCTTTCCGACGCTCCAAAACGGCCCGAGAGGCCCCGAAGACCGCCCCAAGACGGCCCAAGAGTCCCCGAAGACGGCCCCACGACGGCCCAACGTGGCCCCAAGACGGCCCAAGAGGTCCCCAAAACGGCCCAAAAAAGGCTCCAAGACGGCACCACGAGGGGCCCAAGAGGGCAACCAAAAATTCAAAAATCTAATGTTCCGCCCCCACGAGCCTCATGGGGGCCCCAAGAGTGCCCCAAAAGGCCGCCAAAGGCTCCCAAGAGGCCGCCAAAACGCCCCAAGGAAACCCCAAGAAGGCCCCAGGAAGCCCCCCAAAGACCCCCAGACGCATCCGTATTGCGAGCCGTCAAGCCATCTGAAATGCACTCCGCGCATACAGCCTTGCTCTTCCTCGCGACGCGCTCACCATCTTGCTCGGAGCTAATGTGTTGCTGCCGCGTGAACTGTTTCGTGCGCGCTGCGAACGTCAACGGCCTCTTCACCCGTTTCGACTCATCTGCCACATCTTTCGCGGCGATGCCTCGCTGATCGCAGTTTCCGCACACTACTCTTGCTCCTTTCGTCTTCTCCACTTGGTTGCGGGTCGAAAGGCCGACCTCCCAAAACGACACCCCGCACCCGGGTGCACAGCGCGCAAAGCGCTCGCAAAACACGCCCCAGACCAATGGCATCACGCAAACATTTGGACCCCCCACGTATCTGCCACCACCCGCGCGCGACACCGCACCCTCACACAAGACGCCGCTGGCCAGAAACTCCTGGCCTCGCAACACTCACAAAAAGGGGTCGGCGGATGTGGCGTGAGCCTGTATTATCAGCTGTATAAGGAACCTCTGAGGAACTGCGGAGCAAGCTCCCGGAGGACCCTCTAAGGAACGTTTATAACGAGCCCCTCAGGAACTGACGGAACCACTGAGAAACACTGAAGAAAACACCGGGGGAACTTCTAAAGAGATCGAAGGGAACCTCCAAACCGCCATTAACAAAACTCGAATCACCTGCGAGGGACTTCCAAAACGGCCCACTGGGAACCTCTGAAGAACTTCCTAAGAACTCCATGGGGTCTGTTTTGAAAACGGTTGGAATTTGTAAACCTTCGCTGCGGTTGGCACCGACCGACATGGTTGAAATCCGTCCAAATTAATAGTGGTTGCCCCATGCTCGGGAGGCCACCCCCGCCCATGAGGGGGTTCTAACCGGGGCGGGCCCCCCCCGCCCAAGGGGTGGGCCCGAACAATGAAACAAACCGTCGTCGTCGCGGTTCAAACCCCGCCCTTTGCAACTCAAGCGGGAAGGCGCTCCTGTGCGCGTCGCCGTCGTCGTCGCCGTCGCCGCCGCCGTCGCTGTCGCCGTCGCCACCGCCGCAGCCGCCGTCGCCGTCGCCGTCGCCGTCGCCGTCGCAATCGCCGTCGACGTCGCCGTCGCCAAGTCATCGTCGT